TTCCCTTAGAAGTATGACTATGATGATTCTTTAGTCATACATACTCTTCCTAAAAAAAAAAATATTTATCAAAATTTCATACGTACATAATCTCACTATACTCCAATTTGGCCTGTTTCTAGTTATCCCAGTATGTGGCGAGTTGGTGTATGTTGCTTCATGGTTGCAAGTTCTTTTATGATTACTTCCTTTTACAAATATTCTCTAAAAAAATTGAAAAAAAAATATTTCAAATTAAAAAAATAAAATAAAGACATATATTAACGATGGCTTATCATACTATTTCTATGCTAAATGTGTAGAACTGAGCCACTCACACCTTTAGAGCTGGAAGCTTTAGCATTATTTATTTTTTTCTCTTATGAGTGTACTTAAGGATGCAACAAATTTTATACAGCTTTGTCCAGCCATGTTGTTCAATTCGAAGAAACATAGACAAAGAGAGCCTTCGAGCCCGTTTGGGGCAGTTTATTTGGTGTGATGGGTTTTGCAAACGTCGACAGAGGAGTTCGGTTACCGCGGCACTTAGCTTATCCTAATAATTTTTATTACTTCGTGTTAAGCACGATTGCGGGTTTGACCCTGTGGCCCGCATTTATTTACGTATGTATTACCCCACCGCCCCTCTCGACCCCGTGACTCCCTCTCTCGCATCTCATCTGCCCTAGGTGTCTCTCTGCTTCTTTGATCGCTCCGTGAACCCTGGTTACCTCTCTCTCACGTTTCTCTCAAGCCTGTCGCACGTCTCTTTCGCGATTTGCTCGAGCCTCTCATGTGCTTCTCTCAGGTGGTTGCCTTTTTCCACTTTCTCTTCCCTCCGATCTCTAGTTAATGTGCTCTATACGTAATTCTTGTGCTCATTTTCGATGAAATGATTTTCTTTTTGTGATGTTTGGCTTTATCATTTGCAATTTGTTGTGAGAAGTTTCTGGTATTTTTCATTTATGACTTTATGATTTTTATTTGCTATTTGCAATTTGGGATTTGTGAATTGAATGTTGCAAAAAAAAAGAAAAATGTGGAGTTGTGTTCTTATCTCCATTGATTCCTCTGATTTTGTGATTTAAAAAAATACGTGGAATGATGTTTTTATCTCCACTTATTTTTTAAGTGGAAATTTGATAAATGGTTGAAAGAGTGTGCTTGATTTGTAGATAGCAATGTTCTGAGTCCCTTGTATGTGATCAGATGAAATGTTGAGTATGGGATGGCTTTCAATCATTATCTCAACTGATTTTTGGTTGAAATTTTGAAAATCGGGTAAAATTGGGTGCTTGAATTTTACAAAGTGCTTCTGGTGTCTTGTATTGCCTCAATTAAAAATTACATACAATTTTTATTTTTTTTTAAGCCGAAATCTCAAAAAAATAGATGTAAGAGGGTGCTTAATTTGTAGATGATAATGTTTCAGGTGACCTGTATATAATTGCCTCAAATGAAAGATATGAGATGGGCTTTTATCACTACCTTTGTTATTTGAGTGAAAATTTGAAAAATGGATGAAATAGAGTGCTTGATTTGTACACTGCATTGTTTCAGGTGCCTTGTATCTAATTGCCTCAATTTTATATTATAGATTTGATGTTTGAGAGAGAATTTGAAAAATGTAGGAAAGAGGGTGCTTAATTTGTAGATAGCAACATTTCAGGTGCCATGTAAGTAATTGTCTAAAATGCAAATATGGGTTGGAGTTTTATCACTACCTTTGATATTTGCGTAATAATTTGAAAAATGAATGAAATAGGGTGCTTGATTTGTAGAAGACAATGTTTTTTTTGCAAATTACATACAGGGCAGTCAAAGCCAATGACTGTGCTGTGGGCTGTGGTGGTTGCGTTGTGGGTTGGGTGGTTGTGGTACGGTGTCTTGTGGTGTGGTAGTTGTGGTATGTGTGAGGAGGTGTGGTTGGATGATTGTCGTGTGGTGGTTGTGTGTTGGGTGATTATGGTGTTGTGACTTGTGATGTTGTGGTTGTAGGATGTGTGTGGAGGTGTCGTTGGATGGTTGCGGTGTGGTGGTTGTGGGTTGGGTGGTTATGGTGTTGTGTCTTATGTTGTGGTTGTTGTGGGTTGGATGGTTTTTCTACGGGTTGTGGTGGATGTGTTTTGTGGGTTGTGGTGGTTGTTTTATGGGTTATGGTGGCTGTGTTGTGGGCTGGGTGATTGTGGTGCTTTCTTGTGGAGTGGTGGCTGTGGGATGTGTGTGAAGATGTGGTTGGATGATTGTTGTGTGGTGGTTGTGGGTTGCGGTGGCTGTGTTGTGGGTTGTGATAGTTGTGTGTGGGTTGAGTGGTTGAAGTTATTAAAGATATGTGGTGGCTGAAGTAATGGTTAATTTGTTTCCTTGTATATTTGGTATTGATTAATTTTGGTTTTTACAATGTTTGTTAGTGTTTTTTTTTCTTGTTTCCTTTATTTTATTTTTCTTTTGGCTGAGTTTGAGAGGTCCATGCCGAGACGTTGTATCTTATGGGTTCTTCTGGATGGTCTGATTGTCGGTATTCGTTGGTGTCACATGTGAAATCCTATTGAAAGCAATCAAGTTCCTCTCTTTTTTTTCGGCGATACAGTTTTTGAGGTTCTTCTTGATGGTTTTTTTTTTATGATATACTTATGTGACATATATGAGCTTGTTATTACGTGGGTTAAATGCAACTAAAAATCCTTTTTTTGACAAGGTTTGTTGCATTCTTATAGTGACATATTCGTTGGTTGGTATGCTTAGTTCTATGATACCTCATACCTACTTAATTAATTGTTTCTGAGGAAATTTACTATTTGTGTTATGACTAATGAATTTTCTTTGAAAGTATTCAGGAAAGACGAGCTCAAGGTTTTCTAGCGCCTTTCAAGGATTACTGTATCACTAAGGACTTCAGAGTTTTATGCTGATGTCACGTCAGACAAATAGCTATAAGAGACAATTTTACAGGTGCCCGCAGTGAAGCGTGACTTCTTCCGATGGGTAGACAGACTGACATATTCTACCATCGAGAGTGATCGGGAATAGATAGTATTCCTGAAGGACAACCTGGTTTGTGACATACGCCGTCTTCATTTTAAAAATAATATTATTAAATATTATTTTAATAGTTCTTTTTCTTTATTTTAATAATGTTGATACCAACTGTTAAGTGAGGTTTATATCTTATTTTTTCACTATTCTGAAGTGAATTTTTACTTCTAAAGTATCAAATGTATGAGAATTCTTACTATATATGAGCAGAATGATCATTTGTTCAGAAACAACTGTGTTGCAACTAGGGGTGTAAACGAACCGAACACGAACGAACAGAGCTCGTGTTCGTGGTTGGTTCGTTTGAAATTAATTGTGTTTGAAATAGGCTCGTGTTCAAAATTGTTCGTTAAAGGTGTTGTTCGTGTTCAATTCGATTTGTTCGAAATAAGTTCAAATTATTCGAAATGTTTGAGTTATCTAAATAGTTCAAATTGTTTGAATTGTTTAAATTATTCAAATTGTTTGAATTATTTAAATTGTTTGATTTGTTCGCAATGTTCAAATTGTTCGAAAGTATTAATATTTGTTTGCATATTTGAATTGCAAAAATATTATAATATTTATATTAATTAAATTATTATAATATGTATATTAATATAACTAATACTAATTTATTATTATTGTTATTAACAATTGATTATATATTATAATTTATAGGATTTAATTATTTAAAATATGTTAATTTTTATAATAAATAATTATTTTTAAAATATCCTTATATATATATATATATAACTATTTTAAATTATTTTATAATTTGAACAATAACGAATCGAACATATCACTGTTCGAGCTTGGTTCGTTTAACAAACTTTACGAAAAAAAATTATTTGTGTTCGCCTTGTTTGCTTATCGAACGAATTGAACATAAACTCTCTCTCGAAATGAACACGAACGATTCAGAAACAACAAGCTTTTTTGACAGCCCCAGCTGCAGTTGTTTTCAAGCAACAATAAACAAATAGTAAACCAACTTATCTGTAACAACTTTCTGGGGTTATTGCCGCGTAGCAACTTATTAATAAGGTGCAATTGCCTCAAACAAACCATTTGCGCTAATATTTTAGATATATCATTAATCATATATATTGTTATCAATTTAATGTGTGAAGCTGAGCAAGTTTGGGACATCTTTTAGTTGGCTTTTGCGTTTCAAACCGCCATAACATTTTTATTTCGAGAATCTATTTTTATTGATTTTTAGAAATTTATGTGAAGAAAAACTGTTTTTTTTCAAACTGACCTACTAAGTGCGGTGATTGTAAGAAAGCTATAGTCTGAAAAGCTATAGTCTGATTTTTTGGAAAAAAAAAAAAAACATTTATAATTCTCACAATGCTTTCGAAGAAGTTACTTTTTCCGTCACAGTCTTACAATCATATTTTTAAAAAACTACAATCATCATAAAAGACCCTCAATCAACATAACAATAAAGTGTATCTATATACACATAATTTTTTTGGGTTAAAATCCAACAATATAACTTAAGTGGAAGCATTAATAATAGAAATAATATAAAACAAATCAATAATGAGTTAAACAAAATAATCAACATAATTTCAAAATATAGTAGGTTTGCCGTTACATTAAATGGTTAATTTAAATTATTAAAATCAATACAAATTTTTTTTTTTTAAATCATTTTAAAACTCAACACTTTTTATTTATTTTTCAAATTTTCATTTAAAATAACAAGATAAAATTTAAATCATATAATTTTTTTTATTTTCATCAAATTCATAATATTTTGATCGTGACACATTTTGCAATTCAAAAAATATTAATTGGGTGATAGTTTTAAAAATAGCAACGTTCCAAGTGCTTCAAAGTTTTCGGAAAAGCGATACACATTCCAAATAACCCATTTTCCTAACATCCCACGGATAACTCTTTTCAACCGTCCATCATAATCTAATCAACGGACAAAAACGATCGATCCGTGGCACCCTCCCCCATCCACCAGAATAAAACCCAGAGCTCATCCCACCACTTCTCTCAATCGGCTCCTACATCTATTCTCCCGTAAAACGCCCACAAAGTCTCTCATGGACGCAACCAGCAAGATCAAGAAGGGCGCAGGCGGCCGCAAGGGCGGCGGCCCGAAGAAGAAGCCCGTTTCCCGTTCCGTCCGTGCTGGCCTCCAGTTCCCCGTCGGCCGTATCGGCCGATATCTCAAAAAAGGCCGATACGCTCACCGTGTCGGTACTGGTGCTCCTGTTTACCTCGCCGCCGTTCTCGAATACCTCGCCGCTGAGGTAAAATCCCGATGCTCCCATTGTTTGACATCCCTTTCTAGGAATCTAAGCTTTACTCTTTCAATTTTGGTTTCTAGGTTTTGGAACTTGCAGGAAATGCTGCGCGTGATAACAAGAAGAACCGTATTATCCCAAGGCACGTGCTACTTGCGATCAGAAATGATGATGAGCTCGGGAAGCTTTTGGGTGGAGTGACGATTGCGCATGGAGGAGTTCTGCCGAACATTAACCCTGTGCTTCTGCCCAAGAAAACTGCGGCGAAGGAGGCGAAGGAGCCTACTAAGGCTGCGAAATCTCCAAAGAAGGCGGCGGCTTAGGTTTTGGATAGGTGGCTTTGTATGTAATTTGAGCTCTGGCGTTGCTGGTTTGGGAAAGAATGTAGTTTGGAAATGCAATGGCTTTTAATTTGAAGAAAAATATCTATTTGTTTGAAAATGTTGTGGTATTTTGCCTCAAGCTGTGGCTTTCCCGCTCGTTCTATGTTTTGTGGAGTGTTTTAATTGATGGTGATGCGAGGGGTTGTTCAGTGTTCTAATTTAGGCCTAATTTGAGCTTAATTTTGCCGATTTGGATTATAGTTTGGGTTTTAATTATTTTAAATTTAATTAAGCAGGTTTTTTTAATTTTAGTTATTATTATTATTTTTTTTTTGGGTGAATTGAGAGTTATTTGTTAAGGTTTAATGTTTTGTCATGGTTTTCAGATTATAAAAATTGTTTTTTTTATAAATTGAGTATACATGATTTAATAAATCTCAATTTTGATGCATGAGAAGTGAAATATTATGTTTAATGAGTATAGTCATGACAGTATTTGTAGCTAAATTGTGCATTTGAATTATGCATATTGCTTTTTGAGCTTAACTTTTGGAACAAGAAATATTTATTATTTAATAAATCTCAAATTTGTTGTGATTTAGCATATTTTGTCGAAGAGTAAGATGTAAATGTGAATGTTATTAGATAAATATATGATAATTATGTGTGTGTTTGTAATTGTCATATAAATTATATAAAATTTTAGAACTTTGGCTACAAGTAAATTTGTGAGTTGTAAATTTGTTAAATTCATTATCTTTAATTCAATAAATTAAAATTTAAGCAAAATTTAAGGTAAAATTTGGGATTTTAAATGATCTTAAATTTAAAAATTCAAAAATCGATGGAGTTCTCACATTTTAGAATTTTGTAAATTAGATATTTAATTCTATTTAAAGGCATTACAAAATACCCCTTTAATTAGTGAATTCATTTGTTTGGATGGGAGAAGGTTTGAATACGGGCTTTAATGATGTAAATAAAGTAGATTTGAAGAAAAGACTTGAGTTGAAATGAAAAGATCAACACTACAAACATTCTTAACGAAGGAAATATATGAATTAGTCATCAAATGTTGAATCTAAAGTAAATTTAAATTATAAAAGTGTTTGTTTGCTTCTTACAATTAAAATAAGCTAACAAAATTCACAATAAACGCTAAATTGTTATTATGGTTTCATGAAGGAGAATTTTAAAATGTTCTCTTCATTTTAGTTGTTGATTAACAACCCAAATCAATTCCCACATAACTAATGCCCACCTTAGAATATTAAATTTTGAAACTTAAATGAGAACATAAAACTAGGTGTTGTTGCATGAGTGGCTTTACATTTAGAGACAAAATGCAAAATGAATATATTTGTGATAGGGTTGGTGTAGCTTCAATGGTAGACAAAATTAAAGAGTCCTCTTAGATGGTTTAGTCATTAAATTTATTAGACTTATGTTAAGAAGGGTAGAGGAGCTAAACCTAAAAGTTTTGGACATATTATATAAAAAATGATCTTAATTTTTTAGAATTAAATGAAAATATGACATTCAATGGGACTCAATAGAGAAAATGGATTCATGTAGCCGACCCCACTTAGTGGGATAAAAGTTTGTTGTTGTTGTTGATTGAATAGTTGAAAAAACAATGATGAGTTTTAAATTGATTTTAGAGGTGCAAATTTCATCTAATGAGTTTAGGTAAATTTAATAGCAACGAAATATGAAAGATTACTTTTAGGCTACGAAAGAAAATATAAAAGGTTTTAAGGGTGAGGATATTGTTAGATAACTGGGAAAAATTATTTGTCATGCTTGGTGAATGTCTCAAAATGATCAACTTAATGGTCGTTATTGATTTAGGCTCCGACCAAAATTGTATTGACATAGACTTCCAATTTATTTCGCATCTATGCTTTGAAAACATTACTAATTATTTTTCGACATGTATCATGTCATATTTCAAATTAGAAGGTATATTCTCATAGCATCATTAGTTATTAACTTATTTTATATATATATATATATGAAGTGGAGCTGCCTAACAAACCCCTAGTTAAAGCCGCCATATATATATATATATATATATTGGGGAAATTTGTATTAAAGTTATGAAGAAAAAGCATCAAATAAGCTAAGTGATATGAGCCATTTGACATTTAATTGTAACATCAATGTTTGATAGAGGGAATGGGCTTTCATTCCGACTTTGTACGGGCAAATACAATTGCTCATATAATGGGTTGGGTTCAAGATTGTTATTACGAACATCAATAGTTAAGCACTAGCTCAATTATCCAATATTCTATTTAAAACAAAAATTTTTAAAATTGTTATTTTTTTCCTTTTCCTAAAATTGATTAAATATTTAATACAAAAATTCCTATAATTTATAGTTTATAAAATTAAATATAATGATAAAACTTAAATTAACAACCTTCATTAATGAAAACATATGTGATTTAAAGACTTTTTTGGTATAAATATAAACCCTAATTTTCAAATCGTAAGGAAGAATGTCCATGTGTTAAGCATTTCTAAAATTGAATCTTTAATCTTCGTTAAATCTTTTTAAGGTTCAAAAGCAAGCAATAGTTACATTCTCTTAAACACTGAGATTGTCACGGTGTAGAATTAGATTCAGTTGAAATCATAAATTTACACTAAGTTTTAAACAATCTTTGAACATGAGATGCAAATAAACCTTAAATCATTAGCTTTATAAATTATCAATTCACATGAGAAGACAAATGTAGTCTAACCCGATTTCACAAAAGAAACACAAAATCACTTTCATTTTACAATAATATTCAAAGTATACAATTAGTTTAACAAAGAAAAGATTAAGGGATAATAAAACTAATATTTGAAGTGGTTTTTGGATTTATTCAAGCACTTCTCTCCTTCTTCTCCTTGCATCACCAAGTCAAACAATCTTCTCATTATCATATATATAACACAACCAGTCACTCACACACTCTAGACTTCACACTAAGACTTCACGCTCTTCATTCCTCACACTAGACAACCTACTTAAGTCATCTATGATGTTCAACGATTCTTTTCACTCAAGAATTTGAATTTTTGAATGTATAATTGTTCATAATGGGCGAGCACACTGCAACATTGGGACAGTGTTTAGGTGCACATGGTTTGGGGCTACAACATTAAGCTCTATGTCCTCTAGTTTTTTGTTATGTCAGTGGAGTTGTGGCGCTCTAGAGAACAGTGTCGAGGAAATAGATTCTAACACCAAGGCATCTTGTAATCGCTGCGAGGCACTGAATTCTAGCACTAAGAATTTAGACAATAGCCTTTATAGCTTTAAACAACTAAGAAAACTCATATTGAGAGAACTCTTCATTATATCTAGGCACCAGGCATGACGTTGTCGCGCACCAATGACTTTCACCATTTATTTCTTAATTTATCCTTAGGGGCTTTACTTAAAAAATGCATACAAAATTATGCATTATATGAAGGGAAACATGTAGCTAAGACAAATATTTTGGTAAGTGTTAGGTATTTTCTAGCCAAAAAATTTTCACACATGCATTAACATTGTTAAAGCCAACATAAATCAATTACTTTCCGTTTGCTTTTTTGTCCATTCATGATATTAAACTTTTTGAATGAATCTTATTTTGCGACGTTTGCCCCCATCTTTACCAATTAGAGAAATTAATTTCTTTTGACAATATTTCTCTGTTTATTTTATGATTAGATAATTAGCACTGTAATTAACTATGAATTGGTTATATTAATGCCCATTTCAGGAAGCTTGAATGGTTCACAAGCAAAGATAAATAAACTGTAATGTAAAGAGAGATCAATTAAGAATCTAAATTACTCTCTTAGAGAGGGCTTTTGCAAATATTTACCTAGATGAGATTTTCTATGGTCTTTAGCACTTTAACAGCTTATTCATCTTCTACCTTTGATTTAGTGGTGTAAAACTAGCACTTTGCTTTTAATTTATAGCTTACATTTGTCCATAAGGTGTCTACATTAGGCAACACTTGCTAACTTTAAAGATTTGTTAAACAAGTCTAAATTCAACATGAACATACTTGGATACTTATCTACCAAGCACATGCCAATAACTTCTATCGACTATAGCGAAGAACTACTCCAACCAATGACTCCAATGCCATCCCTTTTTGCACAGGCTAATATGCAGTCCATTTATAACATATTTCCATAAGTGAGAAAGCTTCTTGTGGTTTTTAATTTATATTTATTTTTTTAATTAAATTACCATACCTATTTACTCATATAAAAATTGGAACCTAAGTTATTAATTTTAACACCAAATTTAAATGAATATAATGATCCTCTTGTAAGCCGCTAGTAAGTCATCAACATTTTTTTATTATAACGTTTATATTTTGTTACCAAAGAGAAAATCCTTGGATTCTAACCCCTAAATTCTTAGTATATTAATCATGCCATGTTAGCTTCCAAGACGACAACTTATCAATTCCCTGACATGCTTTTAATGATAATTTTAGTACTTTGTTTGGACAATTATGAACTTAATGCTACCCACCTTCACTAATGATTTTAATGGTAATTTTTTATCAAAAATATCTTTTATTTTAATATGACTTTTATGATTTTGTAAAGAAAAGAAGATTACTCGAGAATTAAAAAAAGAAATACAATTCTTGTACTAAAATGAAGTCCTTTAAAATCCCTTATCACTCTTGTCTATTATACACTGACTCACAAGTTGATGAAGTGATATAGACTTCACTTATATTTTATTCTTTTTGTCTTTCATATGAAATCAATTTTGACTATGCATTATGAGGTTGAAACATATAAGCCTCTTATTCTACTCTCAAGGAATAAATTAGCGAGACAACATTTCATGACGATCTTATTATTCACATAATTTTTTGCTTATTTTGAGGTCATTGGGCATTTTGGAATATTTTTCTAGACTTGCTTGAGTGTATCCCTCCAGTTAAGCACAAAATTGCAATAAGTGGTCAGATGCAACGACTTTTGATATTATATAAATAGAGGCAACAACTAAGAATTTCGCTGAATTTTTTTGTAGTGAAGCTCTGCCATACTTTCTCCTTTCCTTAAAAGTTTCTCCTTCTATTTCCCCCCATGATGCCTCCAAGAAGATGTTCGAGATCATTGTCACCAGAGGAGGAAGGACTTAATATAGGCTGATGTGTAAGCTGGAAGTTGCTCGTAGCTTGGACAGTGAGACATGATGGGCATTCTCATGACTGCACCCTCATGAGGGGTTTTGATTATTACTATGTATATGTCCTTCTTTGTGGAGATTGATTTTATAATGGTGCTCCCCTACGAGAGGCTCTTATTTATTTCTATTATTTAAATTGTGCTCCGGGCGGGTTAGGGGGGGGGGTCCTGTATTTGTTGATTATCACATATTGTTGCCCCATAATCGCAATGACCTAAGAAGTGTACAATCCTTATATGACATATTGAAATATATATATATATATATATATATATATATATATATATATATATATATATTTCAATATGTCATATAAGGATTGTACACTTCTTAGGTCATTGCGATTATGGATGCTTCTATCCTCTGTGAGTCAAGTTGAAGTCTCGGTACAATGTTGAATGCCTATATGGTACAATAACCACTTTTTGTAGATAAAAACCTAAGGCTACAACTAATGAGATATGCAATGTTGTCAAATCTAGAGCCACAACTCCTTGTCATTTTCATGCCCTCATTAGTCATGATTCAACTAACATTAGTACATGCACTAATGTGGCACTGGACACATTAGTGGCGCCCCAACACCATGCTTATTGCCACGACTTCTGATTTCTTGGGCCCTGAAGGTGGATTTCGATTTGATAGCTGCCATTATGGACACAGATGTGGCATTGACCATGTTAGAAGCTCCCCTAAACCTTTAATCAAACCGCACTGCCCAGCTAACACAAGGTCATGTTTCAAGCAGCGCACCTTGTCTTGTTAGCTGACATTACATCCACCACGTAAGCCATGCCCTGAAGCAATGTGCAGCCCCGTGACGCTACATCAATTTTTTTTGCTCTATAAAAAGGGAGCCCTAGGCTTCCCTGAGGGTTGATTGTTGGGTCATTTTAATTGACCTTTTGAGATGGTAAGGTTGATTGGAGTGGGCTAGATTTTTGAAGTTGATGGAGTCTCTATAGTTTTTTTGCAGCCCATTTTCTAGTCGGGATAGAACAAATGTTCCTCTCGACCATCACCTTCATCTTTTTCTGTATGGTGGAGCTTCTCGATGCTAGAAGTATCGTTCATTGCTATCACTGAAGCTGGTGGAGCGATTGACCAAGCCTTGAAACTTTGGACGTCATTCCCTCATCACATAGGCAAAGTTTCTTTTTGTTTGCAATTACCTTTCTATGAAAGCCTTAGATTTTGTGTTAGATGAACTATGCTAGTCTGTTATTAGAGAAAGTCAGGCTAGCTTCTTGTGTTTCCGCTTATATAGTCTCATTTCTTAGTGCTTTCTTTGAGATCAGGGCCTTAGATAAGCCCTGCACTTTTGCATCACTCTTTTAGATATCATGGCGTTGATCCCTTTTTTAGGCTTAAAATCATAAGTCAACGTCATTTCTTGATATGTGACCATCATTTTACCATTCACAGTTGTCGTGCAACATTGCTTCAACAATGGTGCGGGGCCATTGCAGTTAATTTTGGTCTTACATCTAGATGTTGTCTCCCAAATCCATAATAACAAATATCTAGGACCAATCAGAACATCGATCTCAACAATATGACCCTAGGTGATCTTCTTCTCCACCTAGGCTAAAGTCATGCCACCAGTTTAGGTGCTGTGATGTTATCCCTTACTTATGGTCCAATGCTATGTTCTCCATCGATTGAAACACGAGACCACGACCTGCTATCATACTTGTAGCATTAGCCTTTATATTTATAACACCGAAATATTAACAAAGTTTATTCTTATCTTTTACTAGTCGAGTAGTCGATGCACTATCTTGTGCAATGCAACAAACACAGGGTGCTCGCCATTAACTCATGACTAGTTTTTTATTGGTAGGAAAACAATTGAGTTTTGGTCGTCATAAAGCTAAAAATATCCCATGATTTCATATTTTCAATCGTTGGTAGATCCTTCTGTTGGGTGACGACATTTTTTGGCATATGACCATATCTTTAGGTTGAGTTTGGTGGTTCAAAACTATAAGGTCTCTGATCCTTATGGATTGTCATTATGGTGATTTGCCATTCTAAACCATTGGTATACTCTTTCGTATGGGTGGTAGTTCAACCTTGACTAACTGATTAGTAGGGCTTATATAATCCATGTCATTTTTTGGCATGACCTGGTAGAAAGCCAGTTTTAGTATATCATTCACTTTTTGTATACTACCTTTTTGAGGCGTGTTAGATAACATTCAACTGATGCCACTTACTAAGTTTATATGGTTGAAGGCCGGTCAATATTCTTTTATTTGCATTTTCATTCAAGACTTAAGTCTCACCCTCGCTCTGTTTGGTAATACATACTCGACTCCGCTATTCAACTAAATTCCAAGAAATTGGTCATGCCAGTTGAGACAACATGATTGATATCTCACATGAGTGTGCAATATATCTCTTGCTTCTCTAAAATATTTGATGTTATATTTAGAATTGTTTTAACACACACACACACACACACACACACACACACACACACACACACACAGCTTACTCAGATCAGTTAGTCGGGTATCTGCTTGTCAATTATAAGTTTCCACTGATCTGGGGTTCGATTACCCTCTGAGTATAAGGTGCGAGACTCGAATTCTTAGGCACATCAGGGTTGACAGGGGGTCGCATAATAGACTCTGACCATTCCTTTTTCAAAAAATAAAAAATAAAAATAAAAAAAAACACACACACACACAGACACACAGACACACAAACACACATATATATATATATATATATATATATATACCCCAAGTTTTGATAGCTATACTTGTAACATCTTGTTTTATGTCATGAATTTGTGTATGAAACATACATTTTATTTTTAAAAAGATAGCAGTGGTGACATTTTTTATATATGCTACATATTTAACTTATATACATGAAAATATAAATTATTAGGTGATAGATATATAAATATACAAAAATTATGCGGGATATATGTAAAGATCCCAAATTTTATTCTCATATAGATCGTGCTCTTCAATGGTGCTGCTCTTCAATGGTGCAAGGTAACATGAGAAGCTATACTTAGTTTTAACAACACTTCTAGTGAATATCCACTAATAATTAAATTTACACAAAACCAATCTCTAACCGTCCATCACCATTTAATCAACGGACCAAATTCTCGATCCGTGGCACCACCTCCCTCCACACTACAATAAAGTCAGAGCACACTCGATCCTTCTCCGCCATTCTTCATCGCATTTATCTCTTCCTCTTCTCCAAGAGTCCACCAGTTCGGATCAACCTCCTCATGGATGCCGGTGGTAAGGTCAAAAAGGGTGCTGGTGGCCGCAAAGGTGGAGGCCCGAAGAAGAAAGCTGTTTCTCGCTCTGTGCGTGCCGGACTCCAGTTCCCCGTCGGTCGTATCGGCCGATACCTAAAACATGGCCGATATGCTCGCCGTGTTGGTACCGGTGCCCCTGTTTACCTCGCCGCTGTGCTCGAATATCTCGCCGCTGAGGTAAAATCACAAAAGCCCTCTTCCTTCAGACCCTAATTCAAAGATCTAAGCGTCCCTTTCGTTGATTTTGATTCTAGGTTTTGGAACTTGCCGGAAACGCGGCGCGTGACAACAAGAAGAATCGTATTATTCCGAGACATGTGCTTCTCGCCATTCGGAATGATGATGAGCTTGGGAAACTTTTGGGAAAGGTGACGATTGCACATGGTGGTGTTCTTCCGAATATTAATCCTGTGTTGCTTCCGAAGAAGGCGCTGGAAAAGGAGCCGAAGGAAACAGTGAAGAAGGCGAAGAAGTCTCCTAAAAAGGCGGCGTAAGTTATCGAATGGTGTTGTTGTTCATTGCTGTTTTACATGTAACTTTTTTCTATCGTGTTTTGTTGTTGCCTTAGAGGTGGCAGGAATAGAGTAGGGTTTTCCAACGGTTAGTTCTGTATTGAAAGTGAAATCCTTCCTGCTTGCCAAATGTTTATGTATTTTTGTATCAAGATGATATTTTTCCGTTATTTTGGAAGTAATTGGACAATTTGGATTGCTAAATTGGGGAAATCTATGCTCAGTGCTTATCCACGTATAATTGTTGTGTTCAAATTTCGTTCATCTGAAGAAAAAGAAGCGTTTAACCTTGATGTACGTATATAACTGGAAGAAGTTCAGTATCGGCCAAAATATGGAGGTGATAAACGGAAATCTTTTTGTGATGTGAAGTTTATTCCATAAACCGTGAATGATGAATTATGAATCCAACTCAAAATAGTCTGGTTATGGTGATTTTAGGAGTGTTTTGGCGTTCCTCTTGAATATCTGTCTTTTACCGTTGGTTTTAATGTAGCTGTTGAATTTAAGACTTGTGGGGTGTTTGGTCGAGCCCTATTTACAGGATTTTGTTACGCTGGTAACATGGGTAGGGGTTTGGGGAGAAGATCTACATACTAAAGTAAAGAGGAATTGGGGGAGTTTGGAGGGAAAGTTTGTAATGAAAATTTTCAAATGTTGTGGGGGCATTCTATTGAGAAAAATAATGTAGGGTTGTTTTCTTTATGTATGTTTTGTGTGATTGTTTTTTTTTTTTTTTCGTGTGGTGTTCCTATCAACGTTTAAGGTGTGGGAGAGGTGATCTACCTCTCGAAAAGTCGATCAATTTTGTATCTTGATTATTTGCTTTTGTTTTCATTTAACGAACTCTTGTTTGTGTTTCTTCCATCTATTTATTTTTGTTTCGTTGTTGTTTGGTTTGTTGATTTTGGTATTGAGGTGTATCAAATTGGTATTAGATCCTTAGATCTTGTTGGGTTGACATTAAAAAAAGTTGATGTTAGAAGGAGAGGTAGAGCAAATCTAATTCATAATGAAAGAAAGGTTTACCAATATGGAGGATAGATTTTTTTCATTAAGAGTAAAAAACATGATGAATTTGAAGGCATAATGTAGGAGATGATAAAAAAATTCATGGAGATGTAATCCTAAGTCGTGTCAATTGCTCTAATTGCAAACCTAATCAATGTTTGATCAGAGAATTCTTTACTAGGTCAAAATAGAAGAGATTGCGAGAAAGGACAATGAAGAAGACATCATCTACCTTTAAGAGCATCCCCTATGGACTTGGAGAGGTGAGGGAGTGGAGAATTTTGATGGAGAGGGATGAGCTGAAAATTAGAGAAGAGATGGTGAACGAGTCATAAAAGAGTATGATGGAGGAAAAAGGGAATCAAAAGTGGGATATGCCTATGACTGTAAGAGGGATTTTCATCTTAAATACATGGAGAAAAAATTTGGTGGGAGAAGAAACCTCAAGTGTATTTAATTTAATGGTTCTTATGCAAGTGTCAAGTGCATATAATTTATCCTTTTGAAATGATTTTAACCATAGCTTAACTGTTAATTATGTATTTTATAAGATGCATTTTCTTTTAATTTTATGTCATTTTTAAAGTCCAAACATAACATATTTTTATATTATTTACAGGTTTAATATCACCTTAAATTTTGATAGCCTCTCGGGGTTAATCACTTTTAGGGGGCATGAAAGACTACCAACCCTCCTAGTTGTCTTAAAAGATTCACTAGTAATTGTTGTGAGACATTGTGGTTGGGGAGCAAAAAGGTATTTAACTCATCATTACAAAAGATGCGACGAGCCTTCAAAGTACTTGCAGAAAGGGTTAGATCGCAACAGACAACTCAATTTTAAAAATATTTCTCCATATGAGTTTGCACTTTTCTCAGCCTAACAGATATTTTGCTCTCGAATGGAGGTTTTCAAAAATTGCCTGATTACCCTAACATTTTATAGAGCAAGATAGTGTCCGACCTCAATTTTTTTAAAAAAGGAATTCTTTGGATGAGAGTACAATTTTTCTTGCCTAACGGGTACTTTGGTTTCCTCGAATGGAGTTTTTCAAAAAAAAAAAAATCCCATTGCCCTAATTATACTTATCTGAATGTCCGAGCCTCGATATCGACAATCAACAATGACAACAACAACAACAAAATCTTAATCCTATTACGTGGAGTCAGCTATATGAATCTGTTAGGTATGACTTATATACCATAAATGGGACGGATGCTGGAGCAAAGCAGAGCTCATGAGCGGAGTGGAACGAAATAATCTGTCCAAATGGGAGAGTTTTATTATGTGGGTTGAGGTTGCATGAGTAATATTTCGCGGTTTGATACATGAGTAATTTAAGTAATTACATATTTTACTATAGGGCTATATATGTGAGTCTTTGAGAGTTGAATCTTGCATTATGTACTCTTTTCTGAATATTGAAAAGGAAATTGTCGATATACTCCCAATGATGTATGCATCTTTGCAGAATCTTATAAATCTCTGCGTGTTCTTCTGAATTTTTGTCGATTCTTATTTTTTTCGCCTTAATTTCTCAACAAGTGATATCAGAGACTGATTTGAAGGCATGGAAAAACAAATTTCGTCTGCGCAGCGAAGAAGATGCGAAGAGGTTTCAGATCGGATTTCAGAGATTTTGCGAAGGGGCTTTAACGCCGGCAGTTTGGGTCGCAGAGAGTTCGGCCATGCTTCGGTTTCGCAGAGGAGTTCGTGAGTCGTCAGTGGAGGAGTTCGCGAGTTCAAGCGGGTAGGAGTTCTCGTGGGAGTTGGCAAATTCAGTGCAGACAAGGCGTTCGACGCTGACAGTAGCGACAACCTGGGAGTGCTCGACATTGTCGCGATCGGCAGAGAGTGCGCAACTCCAGCAGGTAGGTGAATTTGTGTGAGGGTTCGCAGCAGGAAGTTCTGCGAGAGTGCTTCTTCGGACGCAGGAAGTTCGTGCATCTAAGCTTCTTCCGTTACAGCCAGAGGGTTCTTTTGGCGGGCGCGACAGTTAACGAACATTCGTGGCGTTTGGTGAGGTGGAGTTCAAGAACAAGAGTTTACGTGCAGTTATCACGAACATATGCGAAAGATGGAGGAGTTTGAGCAGCAAAGGGAGCAAAGAGGGAGCATAATTGGAAGGGCGGACGTAGGAAAATGAAATTTACGCGAAAAAAAAATCCGCGGAAAAGAAAATTTAGCACGGAGATATTCCAGAGATATTTCAGGACTTAGGAAAGATAAGAAAATAGAATTTGTTGGTGCACTCGGGAAAAGAAATATTTATTTCTGGAAGGAAAGCGAAAGCGGAGTTTTTCTGGAAGACAGAGTTTTTCTAAGAAGGAAATCAGAGCTTTTTTGGAAGGAAAAAAGAGTTTTTCTGGAAAGTGGAGAGATTTTTTTTTTAGAAGTTTAAAAATATATTTGAGAAAGTTTAATTAATGAAAATTTAATTTTTGGGAAAGTCTTTTTTTTTTTTTGGAAATTTAATTAAAGGAATCTTAATTAAGAGATTATTTAAAAAGATTTGTGGCCTAACTCACATTGGTGCATAAGAAACTCAATGATGTATTTTCTCTTAAAGGACTGGATATTCACCATGGTGGAAAGTTTTTAGACATGTATTTCTCCTAAGAGGTTGAATATTCGCTAATGCGGAGATTTGTTAGACATGCATTTCGCCTAGATTATTGAATATTCACGAATGTGGAGATTTGTTAGGTATATGCATTTCTTCTAAAATGCTGGATATTCGCGAATGTAGAGATTTGTTGGGTATATCTATTTCTTTTAAGAGGTTGAATATTCACTAAAGTGGAGATTTATTAGGTATGACTCATAATACCAGAATGAAGAGATTTTTTTGGAATTGAAGCATGGTGACCCAATCCACACTGGTGCTTAAGAAATTCCATGATGTATTTTCTCATAAAGGGCTGAATATTCATCAAGGTGAAGATTTGTTAGACATATGTATTTCTTCTAAGGGGCTTATTATTTGTCAATGTGAAGATTTGTTAGGAATGACTCATATAGCATAATGTGACAGATGCTGGAGCAGAGCGTAGCCCACGAGCAGAGTGGAGCGAAAACATCTGTCCGAATCGGGGGAGTTTCATTATGTGGGTTGGGGATGCGGGGACAACACCCTGCGATTTAGTATAGAGGTAATTTAAGTAATTTTCTATTGTACTATAAAGTTATATATATGTCATGTTTGTAACTTCAGATGAGTCTCTGAGAGCTGAATTTTGTATTTTATACTATTTTCTGAATATTGAAAAAGAAGTCATCACTCTGTTCCCAAGAATGTATGCATTTTTGCCGAACCTCGTAAATCTCTGTGTGTTCTTCTTGATTTGTGTGGATTCTTGTTTTTCTTTTCCCTAATTTCCCAACAAAATCCTTTTTTTTTTTACAATACACAACATTAAATAAAATTAAATGAGAAGTAAACTTGAATGGAAAAGGCTCGGGTAGGGAAAAGTTAATGGCTGGGTTTGAATAAGTTTTCAAATTTGTTTCTGTAGATTGACAAGATTAAAAAGCCGTGTGCTCGACTCAAATATAAAATTCCTAATTTTGGGTAGGTTGAAGTGGGGGATTTCTGCGTAGATATTGGAGGGTAGAGCGACTCTTTCATATAAATTTTGCGAGGGAGGATTGAAGGAGATTGTGCGATGAACAGAGGATTCAGGCAAGACTGGCGAAGGCTAGGGCAGAGAGGGCCGTGCGATGCGAAGGCAGTGTTGGGAAGATCACAACTAGGTGTTTAGGCTTGGGAAGATCGTGACACAAAGGGTTGGGAGATTGTGCGACATGGGGAAGAAAAGTGCAGGATTAATCGGGACTCAGGATGCGTGACAGGGGAGGATCGCATAGGAGAGGCATTTGGGTTGAGCTTTTACGTGCAATACTCCTGTCGATGGGAGTTTCGGGGGCTTTTACGTGCAATACTCCTGTCGGTGCCAATCATGGGATGACAAGCAAAGGCTTTTTGTGTTCTTTCTACGTGATGGAGGGTAACGAACGTGCTGATCTATGCAAACAAGGGAGCAGATGAAGATGAAGTTTGATTCTTCATTTTGAACATGAAGTTTTGAAGCTTTCATATCCAGCAACCTTGTGGTTGGTTTTTGTGGCTAGCCATAACAGAAACTTCATTGCCTTCCCAGCCAGCCCTCCTTGGTTCAAACAGGAAAAAATG